CTCCTCCTCCTCCTCCTCCTCCTCTTTCTCCTCCTCCCTGATTATCTTCTCAGATCTTCCAGTTCAGAAAGGTCCCCCACCACCTCCTGGCCATCTCCATGTTGATTCCAATAGTTCCACAACAGTTTGGTTGCGGTGGAAGAAACCCGACTTCACCACCACGAAGATTGTCAACTACACAGTCCGTTTCAGCCCCTGGGGGTTAAAGAATGCCTCGCTTGTGATGTATTACACAAGGTAGGAGCATCCTCAGCAGTGTAAGTGATCATCCCAAGGATCGCGATACATTGCACAAATGAAGTCATTTGGGTCATGCTGTGATGTCATTGTTGGGTCGTAGACAGTTGCAAGCAGAACTAATGTGGGGGCTTTTCTTACCAAAGAATTAAAAATGGACTTTTTTTTCTTATTGGAACCATTCAGATCATTTAGTGAGGAGCATTCATGCTTTCTCTTTTATATTACTCTGTTTATGGAGATTCTTAGTCATCCAGGTCTTGGTTGTCCCAAAGGTACTTTTTCAAGAAGCAACGGGACTTTTTTGTTTTTCTTTGAAGACCTTTTGCTTCTCATCCAAGAAGCTTCTTCAGTTCTGAAAAAAGCTTCTGGGGTGAGAAATGAAACGTCTTCAAGGAAAAACAAAGTCCAGTTGCCTTTATATTACAGTATTTAGCTTTCTAAGTTGTTTTGGCATACTTTAAGATACTTTAATCTTTCTTTTTCTTGTGTATAACCCTGACTAGACTTTCTAGATATCCATGATCAACCCAGAGAAATCTCTTTGGGTAGTTGTCGGATTTTCTGGCCCACCAGATTTTAATCTGTTTTTACATCCCGCCGATAAAATAACAGCTAAATCAGAAGCTGGTAAGGGCCCCACATTGGCAACCGAGACATTTCCTTCCCTTCCAGCCCTATCTTTCTATGATTGTGCTATTCAAAGGCTGCCAAAAATCTTGCCAGTCTCTGAAGGACACCCGCTCCTGTGATCACGGTTTCATCCTCTTATGGGAATTTTTTTCTTCTTCTCCGTAGCTCTAAAGAGGATGTGCTTATTAGCGGACTGAAACCCTTCACGAGATACGAGTTTGCGGTGCAGTCCAACGGTGTCGGGATGGACAGTCCGTTTGGAAATGTGGTGGAATGCTTCACCCTCCCAGACAGTAAGTCCAGCAGCCTGAAATGTTGCCTGAGGATGGGAGGGGAGGGGGATGCAAAGGAGGATATTAATTTTAGTACTAGTGGAAAAGGTGTCCTCAAAAAAAGAAAGCCCACAAGATTCTAGTCTTTGTTTTGTTTTATTACTTTATTTTACTTTACTTTACTTTTTACTTTACTTTACTTTCTTTTCTTTACTTTACTTTACTTTACTTTACTTTACTTTACTTTACTCTATTCTACTCTACTTTACTTTTATTTTTAGATAGACAGGCAGACAGACAGACAGACAGACAGACAGACATGTAGTAGTCTTATTAGATGTTTTGTTCATATATGGCCCTAGGGCTGGATTTGATTTGATTGGATTGGATTCGATTTAGGAAGGAATCTGGGGACGGGGGGAAGAGTGTCAGAGGTTCATCCAACTCCCCTTCTCTTGCTTGCTTCCTGTCTCCTGTTGCTTCTGCTGCTCTCCTGTAGGGCCCTCGACTCCCCCCTCTGACCTGCGGCTACACCCGATCAACCCAAACGCGGTCCAGCTTCACTGGTGTCCCCCCTTGGAACCGAACGGCATCATTGTGGAATATGTCATCCTCTACAATGCCAACTTCACCCAGCCGGACGAGATGTGGACTCTGTTGACCAAAGAGGGTAAGCATTGTGTCCGCCAATGCACAGAGACATCCAAGGTTGTCTGCAAGAGGAGGGGGTGTCCAAAATTCAAGATGTTGACCACAATCCTGCAATTGAACTCCCACTCTTTCTTTTGTTAAGTTTGATGAAAAGAACGACTAGGGTTGACACACTAGCAGGGTTCCAATGTCTCAGAGGCTGCCACAGAGAAGAGGGAGTCAAGCTATCCTCCAAAGCGCCTGAAGGCAGGACAAGAAGCAACGGATGGAAACTAATCAAGGAGAGAAGCAATCTTGAACTTAGGAGAAACGTCCTGACAGTTAGAACAATTAATCACTGGAGGCTTTTACGAAGAGATTGGACAGCCATTTGTCTGGAATGACATGGGATTTTCTGCCTGAGCAGAGGGTTGGGCTAGAAGACTTCCAAGGTTCCTTCCAACTCTGTTATTCTGTCATATTTTTTTTTTAATGGGCATCACTTTTTTGAGCAACTCCCTGCGGACATCCCTGGGGAGCATCGGTCATCTGGGCAGGAGGAAAGCAGCTTCAACTTGCAGCAAGCTTGGGGCTGGAATATTGGGATCCGATACCACATCCAGAATTCCTCTCTTCTTCAGGCAGTACCTTCAGCGCTGAAGTTAACGGACTGGAGAGCGACACCAGATATTTCTTCAAGATGGGAGCCAAGACAGTCGTAGGATCAGGACCCTACTCTAGCGTGAAAGATGTGCAGACCTTGCGGGAGGGACTCACAGGTAACGGCTGCTGGCTTCTCTTAAAATGGAGTGGAATGGAATGGAATGGAATGGAATGGAGTAGAGTAGAGTAGAGTAGAGTAGAGTAGAGTAGAGTAGAGTATAATAGAATAAGGAACGGAATAGACTATGGAATGGAATGGAGTAGAGTAGAGTAGAGTAGAGTGGAGTGGAGTAGAGTGGAGTGGAGTGGAGTGGAGTGGAGTGGAATGGAATGGAATGGAATGGAATGGAATGGAATATAATAGAATAGAATAGAATAGAATAGAATAGAATAGAATAGAATAGAATAGAATAGAATAGAATAAGGAACGGAATAGACTATGGAATGGAATGGAATGGAGTGGAGTGGAGTGGAATGGAATGGAATGGAATAGAATAGAATAGAATGTGGAGTGGTGTGGAGTGGAGTGGAGTGGAGTGGAGTGGAGTGGAATGGAATGGAATGGAATGGAATGGAATAGAATAGAATAGAATAGAATAGAATAGAATAGAATAGAATAGAATAGAATAGAATAGAAACACTGTGGTATATCTTGACATAGAATTGACACCATGGGGACCCAGGATCAGGTCCCTTCTCAATAACAGAAGTTCAGGGGGAGGGTTTTAATCAGTCCCTCCCTCCCTCTCTCTCTTCTAGGGAGAAGAAAAAGTCTTCCTCTCTTCTTCCTCTTCCTCCTCTTCATGTTCTCCTTTGTCCTTTACCTGCAGATATCTTAGTTCATTCTGTCACCGGGGTCACGGTAGCAATTTGCCTGCTTTGTATTGTCTTCTGTGCCTGCGCCAGCTTTCGCAACAATAACCTGAGGTAAGTTGTGTTTCAGCGTTGCCTCCAACACATGAGCCCAGTTGTCTGCCTTCTCTTCTGCCCGCTACCTGTGTGCCAGGGTGAACGTTGTTAAAGAATTGGGAAGTGTGGAATTGATGGCACCCTATCAAGATGGGGAGGGATCATTTTATCTTTAAATGCCCCCCCCCTGTGAAAACAAGGCCACCAAGCAGAACAAAAAACTGTCTCCTTCCTTTCTGCAGGAAATCTGTGCCTGGTTTGGATTCCCAAGCTTCAGGAGGCCATACGTATCACCACCGGAACCGGCAGGCAGCAGCGCCCCTATCGGTGATCCCATCAACTTCTCATGAAATGGAGTCCCTTATGGCTCCCCTCTCGGATGGTGCCCCCTCACCTCCGAGCGACTGTGCAGAGCTGACTGAAGCCCATGGTCTCATCCGTGCTAGTCCTCTGGAGGACAGTGTGGGCCACATTCCAATAAAGGTATGGTCGGGATCCTTTCATCGTGTTCTATGGGAACCCATTCTTCTTCTGGAGAAGTAGATACTGTAGATTTTTTATCCCCCCCATCGCCACCCCAGCTCTGGTGAGTTCTCTGATTCTTCTTTGACTTTCTCTGGCCAAGCTGCTTCTCTTCCAGGAGGCTTCCTTTCCTCCCAGCTTAGTTCTTCCTAGAGTTTGTCGGGAGCATTTCATTTCATGAGGGAATGTTTAATTGGCCTAATTTACCTCATCTGTTTATGTTTACCTTTGTACCCTGTGGAGAATGCTTAAGGTAATTATGGGATTGACTAAAACAAATGGGAGAGGAGCCGGTGGGATTTCCCATTTGCATCCCTCACCCACTTCTAGATCCTCAGCTGACACCAAAGTCATCACCTCAGGAGAAGAAGCAGTCAGATTGGAAGCTAGGGAAACTAATTGGTGGATGCTTAACATGGAACACAGAATCATAGGACTGGGAGGGACCTGGGAGGTCTTCTCATCCAACCCCCTGCTTAAGGCAGGACACCTTATACCATCCCAGACAAATGATTGTCTAATCTTTTCTTGAAGACCTCCAGTAATGGAGCACCCACAACTCCAGGAGGCAAGCCATTCTGTTGAGTAACTCTTCTCACTGTCAGGAAGTTTCTCCTTCGTTTCACGTTGGATCTCTTTAATGACCTTCCACCATGGAAATGTCTTCAAATAACGCTGGGTCCCTCTGCTAAGAAAAGGAAATGAGCACTGCTCCCTAGAGACAGACATGACTGGACAGCAAAACTTTTACAGCAGTGGCCCCCAACCTTTGGGGGACCAGGGACTGTTTCCATGGAGAAATATTTTTCTGCGGACTGGAGGGAGCGTGGTTTTGCGTGTTGCCTGCATCCCACAGATGGGGCTTCGCTTTTTTGCACGGCCCGGTTGCTGGCATGCTGCAGCCCGGTACTGGTCCACGGACCGGGGGTTGAGAACCCCTGCTTTACAGTACTTTTACCTATTATAACTTCAGATGGTTGCTCAAATGAATGGTTGTAAGTCAAGGCCTACCTGTATTGCCTTCAACTGGCCCTGCCCCCCACTTTCTTACCCTCCTCCCCACTCCTTTTCCCATTTAAAAGGTTTGCTGATAACTTCCAAGTCCAGCATTTACAAATGCACTAAAAGCACAAATGCACACACCGACTCTAAAAGCAGTAGGTCCTGCCTGCATCTGCGTAGCCACCAGAGGGAAGCAAATAGACTGCTGAAAGTTGAAAGTTGACCCGCTAAGACATGTTTGTGCGCTGGTGTGTGTGTGTGTCTTTGTGTTTATGTCTGTCCTGCTTTTTGCACTTTGCGGGGACAAGCAAGAGACTTTTCCATCTTGAAAGTTGTTTGCAAGCACATACACACCATCTGCTCAGTGGCTGCATTTCTTTTCTTTTTTTTAAAAAAATGGCTTTTATTTTTTTAACTTAGCAGAACAGAAAAAGGGAAAAGGAACAGAAAGTAAAACCAGACAAACTACCGCCTATATGAAGACTTCTCATACATGTATATATTTATCTGTAATTTTTGAACAGTGACAATCTGGTTACAGTACCCTTCTGCCTCCAATTTTTCAGTTGCATTACTATCCATTATCCTTGAAGAAGTTTTTGAGTTACGAAATGAAGCAGAACATGACCAGCAGTCAGGAACCATCGATTTTATACCAAGTTGAGTTTTTTCTAGCCAAAGCCTTTTTCTTCATCCAGATCTATTTTCCAAGGCGCCTGAAGGCAGGACAAGAAGCAACGGGTGGAAACTCATCAAGGAGAGAAGCAACCTAGAACTAAGGAGAAACTTCCTGACAGTTGGAACAATTAACCAGTGGAACAACCTGCCTCCAGAAGCGGTGAAGGCTCCAACCCTGGAAGTTTTTAAGAAGAGACTGGACAGCCATTTGTCCGAAATGGTATAGGGCAGTGGTTCTCAACCTGTGGGTCGGGACCCCATTTGGGGTCGATCGACCATTTCATGGGGGTCGCCAAGCAAGGCTGTCCGCCATTTTTTTTGTCCGCCATTTTTTTCCCCTTTTCCGGTGGGTGCCTTACCTCCCTTGGGCTGGGCTAGCTGGTGGTCGGCCTGCTCCGTCTCTGCCGCTTGCCAGCTACGCCTCGGCCGGCGCAGGGGGCGGAACCACGCATGCGCGGCGCTCCCGGGCAGGGAAAGTCCTCGACTTACAACCGGTTTAGTCCTCGACTTACGACCGGTTTAGTCCTTGACTTACGACCGGTTTAGTCCTCGGCTTACGACCGGTTTAGTCCTCGACTTACGACCGGTTGGGGTCACGGCATTAAAAAGGTTGAGAACCACTGGTATAGGGTTTCCTGCCTGAGCAGGGGGTTGGACTAGATGACCTTCAAGGTCCCTTCCAACTTTACTACTATTATTATTATTATTATTATTATTATTATTATTATTATTATTATTATTATCTGTTGTCTTGGGATCTTTATAATGAAGCTGTGATCGTGTTGTTATATATTATGCTGAGAACTCTTGTAAAGCACTGTAAAATTAAAATAAGAAGGAAGGGCAAATAAAATAGCCTTAAGCAGATAAATACAAGTATGGGATTAGAAATAATGTGCTTTTTCTTTTGATTCTGCAGCCTCCGTGGGGGAAACCTCTGAACAGCTGGACAAGCGGCATCGCTGGCTACGGAGTCTCAATTCCAAAAGAGCCCACCATGGCTTTGAATGGATCACTGAAGATGGTCTCCAATGGTGGACAGAAGCTCTTGTTGCAAGCTCTGGTTTACGAGGTTGTCACGGTGTGTATTCCCAGCAGGAAGACTTTTTTTTTTGTCCGTAAGGGGAAGGAGACCCACCACTTAGTTAAAAGACTAACATTACCTATGGAGAGCGTGAAGTTGTCTTAAGGCGCTCAGCTTCACTTATAATACTGGTTGTGTGATTGATCGTGCTTTGAGCAGAGCATTGCACTCTTTGCAGGAGCTGTGCATCATTTGGTTGTTTCTGCTCTGAATTTTGTGTACGGCCCGTCAAAATAATATAGCAAAATAAACTCCCAGCCTCCTGATGGTTTCCCGGTATGCTAAATAGCGGGATTCTGAAGGTAGACTAGTCACAGCTCACCTGGCTAAGAATTACGGATGTTCTAGTCCAAGCAAGTATAAAAAATGTCAGGTTAAGGTGCACTAGCATCTTTCTCCTGTGTCTACCTTATGCTTCCTGGGTAGGCCCACTTTGAAACATGTTCTTGCTCACTCCTGTCTGAAGCAGTGATGCTTCAGATAGGAAGACAATGCAGAGAGTGGTGAGAACAGCAGAAAAGATTATTAGCAGTTCACTCCCTTCCATCCAGGCGTTGCTTGAGCAGGGTCCGCAACATTGTCTGGGACACTACACATCCTCTTCACGACCTGTTTTCCTTGTTACCTTCTGGGAGGAGGGGGCTCCATGGTATCCAAAGCAAAACATCCAGATTCAGTCACAGCTTTGTTCCATACAGTATTAACTTTATGAACTCTCAAGCTTCCTCCTTCTGTTAGGCATTCAAGATGGACAGTGATTAATATTTATATGTTACTTATATGTAAGGGTGTCGGTCTATACATATGTTGTCTATAGTATGTTTTTAAATGAGTGTTATGTTTGTGTACACTTGAGAGCAAGCAACTAAATTTCATTTTCAATGTGTGCCGCTGTGCCCACAGGGAAAAAAAATGACAATAAAGGTTATCATTATTAAATCGGGTTTTTTGCTCTAACAGGGAGTTGGGTTTGTTGGTCTCAGTGGCCACGTCCATCTGTACATTTCTAAGAATCCTTGTTGTTGTTTTTTTACTTCTAAGAATGAAGCAAAAAAGGAGCACCCGCCCAGTAGCCTCAATCAACTGGAAGCTGAGGTCATTGTCCATTCGGATTTCTTAGCCTCCAACCGAGATTGTGGTTCCCAACTCCACATGCTGGACCTGGAACGGACTCCCTGTGAGGATGGTGAGCCAGAACCATTCCCCATGGAAGACCTACCTGAACAGGTTTCTTATACCTCCTCTCAGCAGGATCTCAGTGTTATATCCCGGGACCGAGATGACCAGAGTGAGCCTGAAGCAGCGGATACGTTGCTAAAGATCAAGAAAGAGGCTCGCCAAAGAGCTTCCAAATCACATGGAACAGATGGAGGGCTCCCCCAGCCTGGAGGGAGTGGGGACTCTGAATCATCTCACAAAGGGGAAGTGGACACACAGCCCATCTTGTGTGATGCTCTTCCCACGGCCCAACCACAAGGCCTTCTGCATGGTGGCCTCGCTAGTATAACTGACTCGCCTTTGGGGTTTGAAAATGCAGCATGTGTCCACCACCTTTGATGAGAGCTTTGATTAAATTCTCAGCCATGGCAGAGCTAGGAGAAACGTAATAGCTATTAAGACTTAGGCCTTCATGGCACTAAATAGTCTCATAACTCGCGGTTTGGAAGGGAAGGGTATTAGCTCCCTAAGATTTTATAAGGAGGACCTTCCTCCCACTGAGTATTGTGTTCTGCTCTCTCTCTCTCCTTTCTTCCCAAGCCACTCTGCAACCGCTACGGAGAATCGGTGAACTTCATACCAATCATGAGTTAATGTTGTGTTTCACAAGATCCAGGAGTAGGCAGCGTAAGGCCCATAGGCCTCTTTCTAGCCCACTGGCTACATACACCATTTTACTACCAGACTGCAGCTGTCACATAACCAGTTGCTTTGAGAGGAAGATTGTTTCGTGAGACATCATGAGGTTGGTCCTGGAGCTGATCTGCTCTTCTGAATGGTGGATCAGATCTTAGGCGCCATTCTTCTACACCTCCAAAGGGTGAAATGAAGCAGAGATGGAGAGCAATAAGTCAGATGGCCTCAGAAGATTCCATAGAATCCCTTGTTCTGCTTTTGTAGGTGCTGATGTAGCACTAAAGCCAAAGGCAATTTTTTGCCAACACTGTTTTCCTAAAAAGACACATCAGTCTCCAAACACAACACAGTCCATCGTGAACTGTGAAAAAAATAAATTTGCATTAGGCTAATATACAGTACATTTGTATTTTTGCAAGGATCTTTTGATTAGGATAATTGTGAAAATATTTTCTTTCCCAGGTCTCAAAAACCTTATCAGTTTTGTTTGACTAAAACCATCAAGTCACTTTTAACTCCCTTCAAAATCACTGCCAGTCTCTAGGCGAAGACTGTTTCCACACAATGCACCAAGGCAAAGTAGGGTTTGTTCATTTGTAGCTTAAGCATGTTGAGTGACCCCCCACCCCACCCTTACGGTGTATAATCCATAGGTTATCGCTGAATGTGGCTTGCCAACCTAGCTAGTTTAGTTAGCAAACTCTGATAAAGAATAACTTGGCTTAGCATGTTGTGTGAACTCAGGCACTGAATCAGAGGGATATTCTCAATTGCCTGGCTGTGATTTTCTTTCCTATTAGCTTCGAGATGGTTAGAGGTTTAGCTGAACACTCAGTAAATACATCAATCTTGTCAGCTTCCGGCTAGTATGTTCTGGCATTGTGGGTTTGATGCAAAGTGTGGCTAGTGTAAATCACATCAGGACAACCTGCAGGTGTATTTTGCATCAGATGTGCGTTAGTCTCCCAGAGATGCCTAAGAGATGGACTGTGACTAGGAAACGTGTCATGCAACCACTGTGTTTGTACCTTAGCTCCAACAAGAAAAGAACTGAAGGCTTTCTTTATGATTTGGTTCCATTTTTTGGCCAGCGTTCCCCTCTAATCAGAGCTGCTAAGTTATGAAAAGTAGTGTTGGTGCTGCAGTGAAAAACCTTCAGTCCAATGGCATTCTCTTGAAATAAGCATGATGTGGAACATAATTTACATTCCCCCCCAATTCTAAAGGTGGATCATCTTGTATGGACCCTCTTTCAGTGGTGAAGTTTTTAAAAAATGATGCATGATTTAGATTCAGGAACAATGCAGTGGACTGTCCCTACTTGTCTTAGACTTGAAGACCCCACTACTGATACTTTTCTTGTTGCAATAATGTATGACCCATTGTGTAAATCCATTCCCCAGAGATTAGCAGAGAGTCCTCAGCTGGGGAGATTACCAAGGTCTTAGAGCAGGGGTGTCAAACTGCCGGCCCACGGGCCAGTTTCATCATACCGGAGCCGCGCCCACCCCATTGCCAGCAATGGCAAAAAAGCTCCGATACGTCGTGTGACGTCACGTGACGTCACGAGTTTGACATGTCTGTCTTAGAGCAATCTTGGAGTGGCTGCCGGAAAATGTGGACGTTGTAATCTTTATGAGTAGTGTGAACCTACTCATTTGGTTGATTTTATTATCCATGGTTAAAGAAACATGGCTGCGTGCGATGCAAGAACCACAGGTTTTCCTCCATCACCTGGTTAAGAAGATTTGACCCTCATGGGAGTTCCTTGTTATTGTGGCTTCGGTCTGCAGGACACTGAAACAATTAGCCTGCTTAGGCTTTGAGACAGGCCTGGAGCACACCATACACTAAGCCAGAATCAAACTACCTGAATGAAAATTAGCCACGTATGTTCAGCCAACCACTTGGTTTGTAAATCATGGTTTATAACCAGCCTCTTTTCCCAAAGCCAACCACTTGTGGATTCTTCCATACACCGTGGTGGAGCAAGCTTTGGTGGATCTTGCAAACCTAGCCTTATCATTGTGGTCCGAAGTGGATTGGACCCTTTCAGACTGAGGGCTGTTGAAGATTAGCCCTCTTTCTGTGGACTCTTTTGAAGAACTAGACAGATGACTCGGCCAAGTTGGTGGAGATTCTCAGTCATCCAGGTCATAGTTTTCTCAAAGGTGCTTTTCTAAAAGGCAGCTCAACTGTTTTTTCTTTGAGGAAGAAGAAGAAGGAAATGTTTCGCCTTCATCCAAGAAACTTCATCGGTTCTGGTAGGATGGTGGAGGCTATGGAGGGATTGAAACCATGGTTTTCCATTCTGATGCAACCCATTTTCTCAACCACGGAGGTTCCTTTCTCGGAATGCAGCATTTTTTTTAAAAAAATAAAATAAATAAATGGTGTTGGCTTTTCCCCTCATGTCTTTGGGGTTTGGAGCAGAAAGCCCTCTCTGTCACAGATCTTGCTTCCATGGCGTAACATGACTCTTTTGTAAAGTAGGCGCTGCAGTTTCTTATTACACACTCTGCAAGTGCTTCTAACAGCTTGTTACTGAAAACTTGAGACGTTTCTTCAGCCCCCTGGGCTGCCTCACCAATCTGTGCATTTAGGTTAAGGGGCTATTGGGGACTTTCCCCACACCAGCCCCATTGAAGTGACTGGGATCTACGGAGGATTCCCTTTCTTCGCATTCGATTTGCGGGAGACGTTTCTGCCAACGTAGGCCTCTGAATTCTTGTACCTAATATTTTAGGTATTGGACCTGTCTCTTCCCTCCTTTTTTAACGTATGACAATGTATTTTTTAATTTCTTCAGAGCATCTTTATATTATTTAATTTTGTATAAAAGAGAGGAAAAAAATAATAAGTGTGTGTGTTCTAGCGTAGCCTCTTTACACCTCTTCTCTACTGTGTCTTCCCCCTTCCCCTTAACACAACTACCTCATGCTGGTGTTTTGTTTTGTTTTTTTGGTTTTTTTTAAAAAATGAAAATAAAGCAGTAGATTTTGCTCTTTGGTCACACTTTCTTCTTTCTTTTTGTCTCCTGCTTTAAACGCCTGTAGAATTCATTGACACAGATTGTGATAAATGTCGCTAAACAATATCAGAAATGGCCTGAAAAGAATGAGTTAGGTTTTGACACACACGAGTGTTTGCTTACAACTCTGACAACGACATTTAGAAAAGCTCCAATTTATACAGGGTATTTCATAGTTTGATGCCCCCATGTGATCTTTAATGCCAGTTCATGAAACTGCTGAAGCAGATTTTAAAAGCGTGTTGTGCTATAATCCGTTCCAATGAGATTCCTTGAGTTCAAATCTCAGTTCATTCTGTGAAAGTTTTATAGGGCTTCACCGTAACATCAAAAGAGATGATAGATAAGAGATGATAAACATGATAGAAATACAGATGATAGATAATTGATAGATGGAAAAAGACAATAGATATAGATAGATAGATGATAGATAGATAGATAGATAGATAGATAGATAGATAGATAGATAGATAGATAGATAGATAGATAGATAGATAGATAGATGATAGATAGATAGATAGATAGATAGATAGATAGATAGATAGATAGATAGATAGATAGATAGATAGATAGATAGATAGATAGATAGATAGATTCCGTCCGTCCGTCCGTCCGTCCGTCCGTGGCAGGCAGACAGACATAATATTACAAGGGATTCTCTTAAATTTAATTAAAGGTGATATGTACAGTATTAGCCTTCAAACATTGTTCTAATCAAAATGGACAGGATCTAGTTAACATACTAGCAATTATTTAACAAATGGTTTGAAAGCAAGTAAAAACACATACAGTAGATCATTCTGCAAGGAAAGAAAATGTACTAATCATTTTGCAACATTAATTCAGCTGTGACCTATTTCTATCAATAATCAAGCCCCTTAATTGTGTAACATCCATTATCTTCCCATTCTTCCTATTAAATATATAAATACCCACATGTTAAAAGATGATCTTAAGAAACAGGAGAAAAGAAAAAACAGAGTCAAAAATCATTTCACTGAGATAATTGGTTGGGTTTGCGTTGTTATGATCTTTTCAGCCACAGTTTAATTTCTAATTCATACTGCAGTGCCTGGAATTATACCATGCCACAAATGATCATAAACCACAAACAAATTTAACCCGGCTAATGCCTCTGTTATTAAGTTACGCCTTTAAAAAATTGATGAAATGTACAACTCATGCTAAGCAACTGCCTATTGTCTCTAAGCCATGCTTCCAAGCTTAGTGTAATGACTGCTTGCACAAAACATGAATTATCTCCATGTGTGAACTCCCTTGGTATAGTTCACCCAAGTCAATAAGCCAGTAGGGGTGACTTGTTTTGGATAGGTGTGCTGTGTTTACACAGTTGTTAAGTCTTTAGATTAGGGGTTCCCAAACTTGGCAACTTTAAGACATGGCTGCAGCAAGCTTTAACTTGCTGGCTGCAGAATTCTGAGAGTTGAGATCCACATCTCATAAAGTTGTCAAGTTTGGGAAGTCCTGCATTAGATCATGCTTTGTGGACCACAAATATTCTGGTTGATAGAGCTACAAAGTCCTTTTTTGAGATCCACAAGGCCAGATGCTTAAGGTCCCCCCTTCACCTTCTCATCCCACATAGAAAAAACCCTGATCTCTTCCGATAAGCTCTCAGAATCCATTTTATTTCAAGGTCTTCTGTCTTGTCAGACCAAGTGATCCTGTCAAAGCATCCTTGTAGGAACAAGGACCATTAAAATCGACTAAATTCCATCAAGCTTTTTCCCCCAAATCAACTTTGGATTTTATTTTATTTTTTTAAGGAAACCGGGTAGAATCCATTCAGGCTTGGCTAACATTTACCTGTACAGATAACATAGTTCCCAGGTAATCTTTTTGTAAATTGCAAAAATGTGCCATCTTGGTCTGGGAGACCCTAGCTGTTTTATGGAGTGGTGAGTAC